TGCAGCAGGAGCTGTTGGGCAATGGCTACAGGCACCCATGAATCCAAAACCTCTCAGGCCTCATACCCAAAATCTCAAGAACGGGAGCCTTTAGACGTAAAGCAGGGCCCCCGAACTCTGGAGCCTTCAACGCCTCGAGCCCTCAGGTCAACCCTCGTTAGATGCCGAGCCCCGAAGCCGTGCTAGCTTTGAACTCTTTAACCGAGTTCACACCAAGTGTTCACGAGACGCAAGAACTTAAGCTCTCAACCAGAATGCCATTGCGATGTCAGTAGTTTTGGCGCCGGAGCTTTGGCGCATTACCAATTTCTTAGTCTTTTGTATAGTCCGTGAACAGCTGTGCGATAAGGCCCCATTGTTCAAGTCACAAGCCAGACTTGATACCCTAGCTCGACGCTACATCTTAACTCGCAAGTAGACGCTCTCCCCCGCACCAGGCAGCTCGATCCCCCAAATCTCTTCACAATCACGAAGGATGTGAAGGCTATCTGGACTGCAAGTTCTAAAGCCCTATCCCTCGAAGTCTGACACCTCCAAGTCCCATCTGTGGCGCATGCTGACACAACAACGATAGTATGTAAGGAAGTAAGTAAGTATGTATGTATGTATGCGCATGACCGTGGTTTTGTGCACCGGGCAGAACGTACATGCGTAGGTAGGTGAAGGGCAAATCTTAACGAAACCCTGCATCAGATACATCTGTGGCGTAGGTCTTTTTTCGAGTCTGGATCTGGCTTTCGCGCTGGGAAGCACCCATTATCAAAGAAGCTGGGAGGCCCAGCAAGAATAGCGGGAGAGCAGCCTGAACCCCGAACTTTGGACTCAAGGAACCCAAAGCGAGCCCTCGACTCTCTGGACTCTGAGACACAAAGTCTGCCAGGAGCGGATCATCCACCGGCCCATCCAGCGCCTCATTGACGTACCGGTGCCGCAGATCATCGAGGAGGTGAGCTTGAAGTTTGGGGCCTTTGGTGGCCTTTTGTCGCAAGTCAGCAAATCATAGGTATCTGGTTGGAGTGCCGTGCAGGCATCGAGATGTGCAAGTTGCATCATGGCACAGGGTAGACATGCTTTGTGTCACTGGGACAGGAAGTCCAGGTGCCCCTCATTGTGGAGCAGGACAGATCCTCTTGCGTTTTGGATAGCAACATCTGGATTCACGGTTCAGTGGCCTGCTGGCCTCGTAGTGGATTGACTCACAGATTGCTTTGGGTCTGGGTTGCGGTATTTGTCATTAGGGATGTAGCGCACAGGGCATCATCGGATGGAAGGCTTCGTTGGAAGCTTAAGGCTGCGAGGATCGCGGTTCGGAACTTGGAGCACGGCGAAAGTCATAAAGTGCTTTGATATTTGGAGCTCCGGAGTCTCAATGCTTGGCCACCTGAAGCACTCAGACGCCACACAGAACTCAGTTGTCTGTATCGTCTATATCAGGATCTTCAGGACCGAGACTGCCATGGAGCGGAAATTTGTCAGACTTGGTGCCTCTGAACTCTGCAGGCTCCCGGCTACATGTGCCGGGCCCAAATCGTCTTGTTAGCCCCAAGCCAGCAGCTAGCACGTGGGAGGAAGAGGTCGTGCCCGTACTCGTGGAGCAGGTCATCCCGGCAACCCGGCTATGGACGGAGTTCAAGGGGCGAACCGGCTCGAGTACATGTGCGTCAAACAGAGTCGACACATCGGTGTCGGGCAGGAGTTCAGCCCATGTGCAAATTAGGGCTTCATAAACAACGCTGCAGCTTGAGGCAACAAAGCAAGGACCTAAGTCTCTTGGTACTAAAGAAGCTTCACTTCCAAAGAGTCAGCCGCGAGCAAGATACTTCTTGCTGCAAGCTGGTAGCTGTTCATGATGACTCTGCAAGCACAATACGGTATAGAATAATCTATACTGTGCCTTCCCACCCGTTACAAGTTATTTCCACACTTCAGCGCAAGCCCCACGTGGTTGTGCCAGCCTTGCACCTGATGCCTCCAGCTGTACTGCAAGGTGTGTGTCTGTGTGCGTGTGACATATGCATCAAAGCCAGAAGGCTTCCATAAACACGGACAGCCTTGAGGCCCGATGCCTGAAGAAAGCCTAGGTGAATCGGCCACACATTGTCGAGACAATCGTCGAGGTGCCGAAGGTCGGCGATCCGAACCGGATGGGGTGAAACGGGCTTGGTGAAGAGTCGGTGTGGGTTGAGATCTGCATCGAAAGGGCATCGAAGCTGCGAAAGACAATTCGCACGTGTCGACTGCTCGGTTGCAGAACTCCGTATTCGTCGTCACAATGCTGTTATGCTGCTTTCCTGGCCTTAAGTCGCTTGCCGCTGAGCGGGCTGCATGCCCAGGCATGGAAAAAGACCCCCCCCACATCCAACACCACTTCATGATATCGAACGATGATGACATCGAACAGCGCCCCAGGACATCGGTCTTCGTCCCGTCCCGTCGGAGAGCATCAGTTCCGGATGTGCTGCTTGTGGTCAATCTGCAAAACTATTCCCGGCAGTCCTTGCTGCCCTACACATACTGACAACTGAAGCTCAAGGTTCAGGTTCCTGTCTCAGACAAAATGCTCAGCCGGTTCGGTGTGGCAACACAGACTGATGGCGAGTGTTGGGCAGCACTTTCGAAACAATCGACTGTGCAATCGATGGTCAGGTCCAAATCGAGGAGAAGATCATCCATGCAATTCGGCTGTAATTTCCGGCTTTGCACAAATGAGACCTCAAATGCTGGATCCCGAGCACACTTTCGTCGTAACCGGAAAGCCAACAGGTGTTCCCACGAGACTCTTCTTTGATCTTCTTTGTAAAATTCGTTGTGCGACGATACATGCTCCTCCCGAGTGGTAGTACAGACATCTAATACACCCGTGAGTGTGCAAAGCCCCTATATGTGGAAGTGCAAAGCCTTCAATCAAGGCCAGAGCCCCCCTCCCAGTGTTCCCAAGCTGTCATCGTCGCGCAATTTGCAAGCACTCTGAGGTGCCCATGATCCAGCGGAATTGGGTTGACCGGGTCCGGCAGCACCATGTTCAGGCGGCATGCCGGAACACAGCATGAGCCCAGCCTGGGCATCTTCATCGATGCAAACGCAGACAGACGGTCCGTGTTCCATGACTCGCGCGTCGCGGAAGAAGCTCCTCAGGTGGTGGAGACCGAGCGGCCCAAGACCATCCAAAAGCTGGTGAAGCGGAGGCCGAAGACGTTTGTGTCCGTGTCGGGTCCATTCCGGAGCCATGCAGCTGCCATATGCATGAATCCAGTCCCTGCGGCCCTCGACCAAAACTCTGAAGTCTACCGAGCCCCCGAAGCCCTGAAGCCCAGCATCCATCTGCACCCCTGAACCCCGAGCCGCACCGCGTCAGGAAGCCCATCCTCCAGGAGAAGATTATCCAGGCGTGTCAGCGAGTCAGCAGATTAGGGAGTTCGGGATTCAGATCAGGTTTCGGGCTTTGGGTGCAGGGTGTAGAGTGTAAACTCTAGACTGTAGGGCCTGTGCATACTGCGAGTTGTAGTTTATGAAATACTTTGTTTCCAGTGTGTAAGATCCGCACCGAAGCCCGCTTGAATCTAAGTCGTATTCGTAAGAACCGTATGGTATGGCTGATCAGAAAGAGTACTGTCGGGCTGGTCGCCGTAGACTTGCTATCGTAGCAGTACAACCCTGGCCATCTAAGCACGATGAGAACGTACACCCAGGAGTCTACGCTCTTTCACTAGCACAATTTTCTCCACACGCCGCTCTGTGGCGGGTCCACAACGGTGTTTGCTGTTGAGAAGTCAGCATCGTTCAGATTGTCGGGTTTGGTTCAGTCTTGAGGGGAATTGGTGTGCCAGGTGCCAAAGATTGTCCAGGAGGCTGTGCCGCACCCTTGGAGTGGAGGATTTCATTGTGTGTATGTGTATAGGACCCATGGACCACTGAAGCCTGAACCTGAAGCTCTCGACACCCGACGAATTTCACACAAGTTCATATCCCTCCAGCATGATTCCCGATTGCCTGAACATCTCCCTCATCTTCCCTGCTGCCCGGGGCATGAGGCCTGTAAAGAAGGTGATGCAGACCCAGGTGGAGGCACCTGAGTTGGCTAGGGTGTGTGGGAGCCACCTTCGAGGTATCGTTTGTAAGGCGATAGACTTTCTCGAGTAGATAGTTTGATAGTGAAGGCACGAACTCCAAAGGAGACCACACCTGGCGAAGGGGCCTAGCGGATCCTCGGAATCAGAAGGGATTGAAGGACCAAGGCCCCCGCCAGAAGCTGTCGCAGTCGGGCGGATGTAATGCAGGGGCCTGAATAATTAGAATAGGATTTTGAGGGTTCCTGATTATAATCATAGTTTTTTCTTGTACCCCCAAGCCTTGTTCTAATCATTAAGGCTGCTACATCAGGGTCAGCTGGTGACCCTTGAAGGTGCCGATCGTCGAGTTTGAAGACCGTGTGGCCAGAGCCCATTTCATTGGGCTCGTTCTTTTTTTCCGGTTTGCGTATGGGATGTACGGCCTATTGTCTGTGAAAGTTTGTGGTTTAGGGTTAAGGTTTCTTGTTTCTTGTTCGTGCGGTCAAGGTTTTCACCAGCCTTTCCTATTAAAGGTGCTCGTGACGAAGCGGGTTGACGCCCCAAATTCAATAATTTACAGAGCTCCCTAGGTATTTCTGGTTCAGGGGAGGCGTGCAGGGTTTGCAGGTTCTTTGTCCAGAACGGCGCGTAGAATTCAAGTCTTGAAAGTTCGCGAGTTTGAGTGCAGCAGCCTGGGTTACGGGAAGGCTGCTTATTTGTGGCGTGTTCTGTCGTCTGCAGCCTTTCGCACAGCAGTCACTAGTCAATGGCCACCGACACCACCTTGAACACCACATGACTCCAAGCTCAACGCTGTCCCGTCCCTCTGAAACTTACCCAGTCAGTGCCTCGAGAAGTAACGGCTTTGCAGCATAGGCACTGGATCCTTGCATCCACGCTTTCACCGCCTCGATCCCAACCAAACAAGCTCACCGCATCAATTTCTGTACGATGGAACGTCAGAGAATCGATGTCCTCGCGCGGCAGATCCAAGCAGGCTTCACGGAGGAGCCAGTGAGGGCAAATTGTACTTAGCATGTTCGATGCTTACTGTAGAGGATAGGGATGAGGGATATTTCCTCACGCACGCCGTCGCCATGTCGGGTGCCAGAGCTCATTCTCCACGTCAGCGAGCCAGGAGTCTGCAGTTCGGCAGTCACTGGAAGGACGCAAGTTCCTGACGCCAAAGATTGTCGATCTCCTCGCTTCTCGCCTCAGTTCGAGTCCGGCAGGGCTTCGAGTTCGGTGGCTTGTCATGCTACATGCATGACGTCTTTATGGAGACTGACTGTCGTTTGCATGCTCATCGTGCAGTTCAAGGCTAACCGTTCCGAGTTCAACCCAATCACCCTGAATGTCGACGTTCTACGGCCAGTTACTTTGGAGCTCCGCCCAGACCCACGAGCAGTGTGTCGAGACTGTCAGGTCGCCTGCGCCGGCGAGGAGAATGTGTTCACCGCAGGTGCAGAGTTGGAGAAGCATTCGCAGGACGGCCTTCAGAGTCGTAGGAGCCGCTGACAGTGTGTCTCATGGGTGTGCGCGGTTGACATGGGGCTTCGGATGAGAGCTCCAGATCTACTTGGAGCATTGGGTTTTCGTTTTTTGAGACTGCGAAAGACTGGGAAAGACAGGTTTAGGGGCCCTGTGGAACTGGGGGCTGGCCAGGACCACTCTCATCATCTTCCGTGCTCACCAGAGATGGTCGGGGGCCCACTGAAGCTGGATTCTAATCGCTGCAGCCCTGCTTACCCTGGTTTTTCAAGACTGTATTCCTGGAGCATTCAGCCTTGGCAGCTGTACCCTCGGCTTCGGTGGGGGTATAGAGTGTTGGTGTCCATTAGTATTGTAGGCTTGCAGTCTAGCGTGTTCCATGTCCTGCCCAGACTTCGGGCGGAACCACCGGGGGTGGAGGGATTTCTTCGAACCGGTCCCAAGCATCTGCATCTTCCCACACCTACATGATTGAGGCCCCGGAGGATTCCAACTTCGATTTCATGAACTTTGACTCACCACGAACCCGTTCACGGGCAGAAGGGTATCTTCGTTCTCTGCCTTTCTACCACGTCTTCCAAACCTAGAACCGAGAAGAGATCAGGCCCTCGAACTCCCCGTCTCGTGCTCCAAGCCAATGCCTCAAGATTCGGACACTTAAATGCAGCTGGGGCCTGATTTTTTCAAGCCCTGCCTTTCAAGTCAGGTGATCTATGCCAGGTCGACAGAGATGATCAGTGGTATCATGCGCATCTGCGCCTGGGCTTCCTCTCATAGTTTGGGATTTGGCCTGAGTGCCCTGATCCGTAGATCCTGAGCGTTCGAGCCTGCAATCCGCTTGGAAGCGTAGGGTGATGATCGGTAAGTATCGCAGCTGTAAAGAAAAGAACGCTGGTAACTCATACAGTTTTACATATGTGAGTATGTGTGTGTGTGTGTGTGTATGCATAACGGTATACACGAGACAGATACACACACCCCTGTGCGCACGAAAGCATTTTTGTATTGGTATGTGGCCTGTTGGCGAGCATAGTGGTGGTATTTGGTTTCTCAAAGCCATCGGCGATTTTGATGCTGGGGGTGTAGCATGCGAACTGATGGACAGAACAACATTGCCGTTTGTAGTGGCAGTTGTGGCAGTCGCCGGGCCATGTCCACATCACCGGTAGCTGCAGCTACAGTTGCAGCAGCTTCGTAAACAGCATGCACCCGAAACGGTGGAAGCTCGCGAGAGCTCCCGCATGGAAGGCAACAGCCACCGAGTCCCGGTAACGCCCTGTGGGGCGCGGACAGGTCTCGAGGCTGGGCTCGGTGAGTCAGAAGCACAAGGCTCTTTAGTCAGGGGTCAGGGCATGTTTCGATTCCCGGTGGTTCCGGAGTTCCATGGTCCTCAATCGCTTCAATCACCACTCGCACCTCAGCACTGGAGCCGAAGCAAGCAAGGCCCAGAAGCTGTCATTGCCGGATTGCTTGCGCATGTAGGTTTCAATGCGCGAAATGATGTCGGTTTGTTAAGGTTTAGGATTGTCGACGAGTGTTTCTTTTGCAGGGTGGCTTTGGCACTAGCAACCCTGACGCCTGGAAGCCTTTAAGCCACGAAGTCGAGCCAGCAGGGTGGTAGCATCCCTGTGGGCGGAGGGGTCTCTTTGGACCTGCAGCTTGGCTCTCCTGCGTATGGGATTCAGGCTCTTGGGTTTACTGCTTGGGCTTGAAGAGTTCTGAACAGGGGATGTTAGACACGTTACTTGGTCGTTCAGAACTGAAGTAACGGTTTCGTGCTGGGTATTCTTAACTGTTTGGCCTGGGGCTTGTACTTGAGACTTGAGACGGGTTTTGGTTCCCCGGTGGTTCGACTCGACAGCACTGCTTTACAAGGTCTTTTGGCAGAACGACCATCTGCAAACTGACAGAACCTCTACTCGAGACTCTAGAGACGAACGTTTGCCACTTCCCAGGTGTTAGGAGGACGGCCGCATGTCGATTTTGCATGGACGCGGTTTTCAACAGCGCCTGCAGTAGTGAGTAGTGTCGGGGTTGAAAGCTAGCGAGTACGGGACCAAGAGCGGCACTCGAAACAAAGAGGTCATGTCCTGGGGGGGAAGGGGAAGTTGCCGAAAAGGCTGAGGCCATGATGAGCCCAGCAATGGGTAAGATAGGGGCCTTAGTCATTACCTACAAGGATGGAATCCTTAAAATAGCTGTTCTGCAGTGGAACGTCGCGCAAGCAAAGAGCAGCCCTTGATTTGGCATGTTTGTGCCACAGTCTTACGGACCACAATTTGTACATGGACCCTGTTTGTGGGTCCTTGCCCCACCGCCTAACCCTCAGACCTGTGCTGAAGGTCCAAGATGAATCAGGTCCTGAAGCTGTACCAGGCGCAGAAGTTCAATCTACTTAAGACCGGTATGCCTTCAGCGACTTGTTATTACAAACTACGAGGCTCAAGCATCCCCAGAGTTTACGCACTCGTGTGATGAATAACTCGCAGGTCGGAGGTGTCAGCACAGGAGCATCGATGTTTAGGTTGGGAATTGGGTTTGAAGAGAATCGGACGAAGCCGGGTATGACCCCATCGGATGCCGTGTAGCTCCATAAGCTAGGTTGATTCCATGTTTCGGGGACCCAGGCACCGAGCCTACGTACTTGTACTGCGCTGAAGCTGCCGTCCTACTCTCGGGCGTATGTAGGCGAAACCTTTAATTCCTTTCTAGGGCCTAGGCCTCAGACACAGCTAGTTTTCTCGGCGTGCACTTCCCAGGGCTCGCAGCTTCAAGGCCCGAAGCCCTTTTCTAGAGGGCCCGTCGAAGCCCGCCGGGGCTTTGCTTCATTTTCGCAGAAACCCTCCCATGTCAAAGGATAGCCAGGAACCGCTCCGGCAAATTTCATCGGCCTTTGCAGGGGGTCACAATTAAGCCAGTTGATGCAACCACCATACCAGATAGGAGGGTGCATGTAGGCGCAATGCCAGGACGAGCTCCAAGTTCATGTGCAGGCGGGGATCAAGAAGGAGGCGGGCTGGCCGGAAGATCTTTGTGTCTTAAGCCCGAAGCTCTTGCCGTCTCAGTCCCCTGATCCTGAAACCTTGCACGCCAGTCTCGCAATGCCTTGATTTCCCGAAGCCACCTGCTGGGGCAGAGGCGCTGAACGACTACCTGGAAAGCGAAGGTCTGTTCTTCCAGGCACCGTTCACGACGTTGGAAGGAGTTTTGTTCAGGAAATGGCTTCAGCAGCGTATCTGGCCAATGAGCCCCCGAGCCACAAAGTCCGTTTGTTTAAAACGCCTTTGCCGAATCTGCCACTTTTCGTCCAACCCCGCCCCGTTTAGGCCCTAAGGCCCTGGCATCTCTCGCGGGCTCTGGTAGTGACTCCGGCCCGGACCTTGCCGTGTGATAACTCTCGTTGCGGATCATCCCAGGTGGATCCGGCCTCGAACCCCTCCCTAGGAGGCATGGCCGCCACGGGCGCCTTGCCTGCACCGACGGGTTCATGCGCAGCTACCTGTCAGGTTTGGCATCAAGCCTGAGGTATATGAGGTTTGGGCGCCTTGAGTGGAAGACTCCGATCTTAAGGATCTTCCGGCACGCTGTGCTGCAAGTACGGCACTATGAAAGAGACGCTTGGACTTTTAGGGTTTCATCTGTGGACACATCGGCGGTGCAGAGACTCATCGAAGTCATTGCAAAGAACGGATAGCAGCGTTCCAAACATCCCAAACACCATCCCTGCTTAATCCCAGCAAATCGCATACTTTATGTAGTCCCTGGAATAAGATCATAATAACCTTGAACCCCCCCTCCCCGACCCCGCTCCCTCACCCCCTAGAAATTCTAGGGGCTGGGAAGAGAAGCTGCAGGAATGCTGTCGAAGATAGGTTGACAAGGGGTTTTGGGCCGAAGAGCTCCGGTCGTCGAGCCGCCAAAGGCCTTCGCTTTTTTGGAAGCCGTGCCGCAGCTCCTAGGACCGATTCCGAAATCCGACCTGATGCGTAGAAAACATCGAACCATCGGGACCCCACTCGTGTTCCCATTTCACACTTCTTCCTCCAAGCTTCGGCTAGGGTCAGTCTTCCGGGCTTCTGGAGCTTCGGAAAGTTTAGATGCGGGTCAATGCTGACCTTTGGTCAGCTGCATTGGCTTGCTTTAGGATTGAGCCCTGCAGCTGCAAGAGTTCCCACAAGCCTGAACTGTTTGCGCATGATCTCAGGAATGTGATCTCGCTGACAGTCGTTTTGGCCGATGGCACGGTTGTCACCACAAGGCGGCGGACCCGCAAGAACTCCACTGGCTACGACCTGACGCACCTCTGCATGGGCCAGGCCCTCCTTGTATCTTTGACAGTGAAGGTGTTCTCGGTTTCAGAGTCGGAGCTTTGCTGAAATTGCATTCTCAAGCTGTCAGGATGGGAGGCGACTGTTTCATACTGACGTAGGATCCGACGTCACTCGACAGCTTACAGGTGTTGCCAAGTCCGAAGCATGAGAAAGCATTTTTCTTTCCACCTTCGCTGGCCCCACTTATTTTTCCTTCGAAGTCGAAACACACCTCCACTTCTCGGCAGAGCCTCAAGCATTGCCGGGGTCCTGCACGAGAAAACCGACCATAGAAACCAGCACACCCGCGCACAAGTTCCATGGAAGAGGCTCCTGTCCCACTGGGTTTAGAGCGGACCCGAAAGCCACATGCCCTGAAGCTTGGCAGGAAGGCACTCTCGCGGTGCCTTGGCTTGGATTCGTGTCTCTTTTTGACATTGCTGGACTGTCGCGGAGTATGGTATGGAGAAAAAGTTGTTATGGAGTTACGAGCACTCCGGCTCACCTCACAGCTGCTGTGCACCACGGTTTACTCAAGTTCAGGAATGGGGTATTGAGGCTTGTGCTCACCCTGAGGTCATTGCCGAGCTCGTTGTGACGCTTGTGTCGCACTTGGAGGTTTGCGTGTATTGATTCCAGAGAGGCATCATGAGTGGGATCACCTTTGCAGCCTGAAGCCTTGAAGCTTACTGTACTTGAAATCTTCGCGAGCTCGCGAGAGGGCGTTGAGTATCACCCGCCTAAAGCTTTCGCAATACCCACCCGAAGCTTCACATAAAACACAACTCACATGAGCATCATCAGCATCAGCGACCCAAGGCCTTCTCGTTACATGCAAAGCAAGGCGCGTTGGCATACCGCCCAATGCATCAACCACAATGCACTTGAGCACCACCAGCATGCAGCGTCACATTCAATGCCATGCGCGTGAGCATCATCAGCATCAGCCGCCCAGTGCATCACATTCAACGCAGCGCGCGTGAGCACCACCAGCATCAGCCACCCAGGCATTACACTCCACGCCATGTGCGCGAGCATCATCAGCATCAGGCGCCCAAAGCCGTTTCATTCAATGCCATGCACGTGAGCATCATCAGCATCAGCCGCTCAAGGCTTTCACATGCCTGAGCATCATCAGCCGCCTAAAGCATCACATTCAAGCAATGCGCGTGAGCAACACCAACATCAGCCACCAAGGCATCCGAATCAACGCCGTGCACATGAGCATCATCAGCATCAGCCGCCCAAGGCATCATATTCAATGAGATGCACATGCGCATCACCAGCATCGGCTACCTAAGCATCACATCCAACGGCGTGCGTGAGTATCATCAGCATCGCCCAATGCATCAACCGCAACATGCGCACCTCGAGCATCAGCCACCCAATGCATCACATTCAACGCCCTGCGCGCGAGCATCACCAGCATCAGCCTCCGAAGGCATCACATTCCATGCCTTGCACGTGAGCATCATCAGCATCAGCCGCTCAAGGCATCACAATTGACGCCATGCAGGTGAACATCATCAGCATCAAGCGCCCAAGGCCATTTCATTCAACGCCATGCACGTGCGCATCATCCGCATCAGCCGCCCAAGGCTTTTTCGCATGCCTGAGCATCATCAGGAGGCCAAGGCTTCACATTCAATGCATCGCACCAGGGAAACACCTTCATTAACCACCCACGCACGTGAGCATCATTCAACACCGTGTGTGAGCATCATCAGCATCAGGCGTCCAAGGTTGTGTCATTCAATCCCATGCGCGCCAGCATGATCAGCATCAGGCATTTAGGGTTTGTTTTCGCACTCCGAAAAACGTGGGCAAGCATCATTAGCATCAGCCGCCCAGTGCATTCCCATTCAACGATATGCACGTGAGTCACGTCAGCATCATCAGCATCAGCCGCCCCAAGGCTTTCAGATTCAACACAACGCGCCCGAGCATCATCAGCATCAGGCGCCCGAGTGTGTTTCATTCAAGGCCATGTGCGCGCGCATCATCAGCATCAGGCGCCCAGGGTTCTCGCAGTCAAGACAACGCGGGTGAGCATCATCAGCATCAGGCGCGCGAGTGTGTTTCATTCAAGGCCATGTGCGCGCGCATCATCAGCATCAGGCGCCCAGGGTTCTCGCAGTCAAGACAACGCGGGTGAGCATCATCAGCATCAGCCGGGCAAGGCTTTGACATTCAACGCCATGCGCGTGAGCGTCATCAGCATTCACCACACCGCGCGTTGACATTCAACACAATGCGGATAAGATTTCACCAGCATCACACGCCCAATGCCCAAGGCTAGTTCATTCAACACAACACGCATCAGCATCATCAGCATTATATAGCATGATCCACATCGGGCTTTCACATTCTGAGCAATGTGCGCGTGGCGCCCAGTGCTTTCCGCTCGCTGCTGCGCACGCGAACGTCGTCAGCATCAGAAGCCCAAAGATGAATGAAACGCACGTGAGCATCATCAGCATCGTCCGCCCAAGGCTTTCATGTTCAACGCAATGCACGTCAGCGTCATTGGCATCAGCCGGCCAGCGGACGCAAACGTTTCGAAAGACAAATCCCAAAGATCCCAGTACCAAAAACTATCGAACATCGCTTGAATTTCTTGAATGATGCGAGAATCCTCAAAATTAATTAGCCGCCGAATCTTGTTGACATTCAAGTCAATTGGAAGCATGCGAGAATCACCAGGATCAGCTGCAAAGTGTGCATGATCATCAATATCAGCCGCACTTTGACATTCAGCTTAATGCAAACGAGCGCCGCGAGCATCACCAGCATCAGCCGCCCAGCGCACGCGAGTATCATCAGCATCCACCACTGCAGCTTGTTGACATTCAACTGATTGCATTCGTATCCCCGCATCATGAGTGTCAGCCAACCAGCTCTCGCGAGCATCGGCATCAGCCGCCAAGTGCATGTGAGCTTCCTCAGCATGGGGCAGATGATTTTTTATTCGAATCAGTGCATATCATCAGCACGGGCGAGCATCATTTGCATCAGCCGCAGTGCCTTGCATCTTGCGGGCATCCCGCGAGAGCTTGCATGATCAAGCAGCGTGTTGTCGCGGCTTCAAGCCGCCGGTGACACCGGAGTGTTTTTGTCTAGTGTGGAACATCGTCGTATATCGTCGTAGTACATCACACCTCGGTGTTTGCTGGAGCGGTCAAAGCCACTGCCGCGATGTTTTAGCAGTGTCCTCGTGGGTATTCATCAAATGCCACGCTTCTTTTTGGTAGTGATTCATTCCTCGCAGCAGAATAGTATTCTAATCAACTCAGAACCACGCTGAGTGAAGCATTCTGACTTGCGACGACAAGCTGGACAGCTGTGAACCCCAAGCCCTCAAGGCTCTAAAAATAGGGACAATCATTCAACCCCCGTTATGTTTATTTGTTTACACCCTCAAATCGCTCCTTAAACCTACGACCCTGGCTCCACATGTTCTTTCGCTGCCAGGAAGGTCACTCCCCAGCCCAGCGGCGAAAGCAGCTTGCGCGTCAGCTTTGATTCATTGCAGGCCGCCACCCGAGTTTGTCTTCAGCTTCAAGTGGCCTTGAAAGGCGCAAATTCCGAGGGATAGGCCTTATGAAGCGCTCGCCCTGAAGACGGGTTCCAGCCGGACACCACCGCGGCCCGAAACCCTGCAGTTTGTAAACTGTGCCGACCCTCGCAGGCGTGCTCGCGGGCTGTGGTGAAGCTGAAACAGGCTCCGGTCTTCGCAGTCAATTTCGACGACCATACGGGAAAACCTTTTAATGAGTAGTTAGTAAGTGCGAATGCAGTAATGGTTCTGGCAATGACATGGCTCCGGTGAGGTCGCTTGGTTTTGGACATCTTTACGCATGCAGTGCGCACTAGTGATCGAGAGAGGTCAACCGTCAACCAAGCAGTAGCACGGCCACCGACAAAGTGCAGGCGCAGCTGAGCCTCTCCCGTGTAGAGCTGCTCAATGCGCAGAGCATACTCTCGTTGAATGTGTCCCGGCCGGCTAAGCATTCATGAAAGATTCGCCACGCACCTACATTGAGGCATGCCGCCAGTGTACTCGGAGAGACTGCGCCTTAAGGCCTTCGAATCCGAAGTCCTAAATATCCCGGAAGCCCACAACCAAGCCTTGCAACGACAAGAAGCGCGGCTTCAAGTTGTAACGACCACTGGTTTGTTTGAGTTCGACAGGACTTGGTGCGTCTGCTGAAGAGTCTGCTACTCTAGGCCTCCGGAGAGCCGGAAGCCTCGCACAGTAGCCCTTAAGCGCAGCCCAGACTTGAAACCCAAAAGCGGTTGAACTCCTAAATGCTTAAAGCCCTCTAAGCCCCGAAGGGCCGCAAACCTAGTGGCATTTCCTGACCCCGTAATCGTAAGGACAGCCAGAAGAATCGCGCCAACCCGATACAGTTGGAGCCAGCTTCTGCGCTGCAGAAAGCGTATGCTGAAGATTCTGGGGTAAGGCTTGACGTGATTTTTGGTTGTGGGTCGGAGGTCTTCCTGCCTGGCCAATGCCCGACTTTTGGGCGATTTCGGGTTTGGAGCCGATGCATCAAGACTCACAACAGTACGTAGCTGAAATTAAAGTAGGACAAACAAGGAAAGGGAGGACTACACCGCAGCGAGAAGCAGGCGGAGGAGGAGGAGAAGGAGGAAGGAGAGCGACGACGACGATGGCGACAACGAGCCAGTGTCATAGTAACCGAACCATGTGGAGAATGCAATAACATGGGAATATTCGGGCTCAGCGGCACTCCAGACGTTCAGAAACAAAAAGTTGATGCTTCTGCTTGAAGGCTCTGGCTCTGGGTGCTCGGCCTGTGGGTCTTCAAGATGCTGATAAACGCGGAAGCAGGAACCGAGCTTTGCATTGTCCTTGCTGTCCGTGGTCTTCGGCCCTCAACCCAAAGCCTTAAGTTTCGGATCCATAGCTCCTAGACTCCTAGACTGAAATCGAATTTCATACAGGTCCTGAGCTGTTGAAGCACCGTTCTCGCGAGATAAGGTGCCCACGCTCTTCCTCCAGGTCCACGCGACCTCGGCAGCTCTGGCTGCGCAGGCCAACGCGGGTCGTGTGCATATCCGCCACCACCACCCTCACCCCCACCACCCCCACCACCCCCACCACCCCCACCACCCCCACCACCCCCACCACCCCCACCACCCCCACCACCCCCACCATCCCCCCACTGCCCACCACGAACAAAAGCCTAACTGCGCGCTACTGCAATGCTACAGCCACAGCTCCTTCCCCGCCTCCTTCTCACGGCCCCATCTCCTTATCGACCTGTTTGCTGAAGCGTGCCAGGAGCTCGACTCTGCCAAGGCCATCGCAGAAACAGAAGGTGCTCGCTCTGTTCTGGTTCGGTGTTTGGCTTTCGGGTTCAGTTGCCGGGAGATTCTGCTGTGCTATGGCTTATGAGCATAATCTGCAAGTGCTTGACAGACTTGCCGACAGAGAACACCGCAGAGACGCATTGATAAAGCATAGAGAGTTTGAAAAGCATGCAAACAAGAACTGAGCAAACTACTGGCCGAGACCGTTGCCAAGCTATATAGCTTCGTGAGCAAGCAGAGAAGCATGAGTAAATGCACAGAGCATATCAGGAGCCAAGTGGCAAAGGCCGTGGAACAAGCGTTGTCATTCAGTGACCACATAGGCACATAGGCTTGGCCCGAGCAAAAATGACGCAGCTGTTGAAGTCCAGAGCTTTAAGTTTGCCCGGATCCCCATTGGTGCAAATTCGATGCTTTAGGGCTACCTGCAATGCTCGGTGCCCCGCTCGGTGTTTGCGAACAGGTCGCACCATGCTTTGTGCACGCCAAGCTTTTCCAGTTCTCACAACCAGCCGGCCCTAAACCTGGAACCCACTCAGTAGCATCGCCCGTCAGTTCTCCTCGTCTCATCAGTTTACTCTCACTCGTCGTCGTGCTGAAAGGCGGCCGATCTTTCGTCCTTGCGACCGAAAAGGAGGAGCAGCAACAGCTCTGGGATCTCAGGACCGAGATTCTTTCACTTGTTGTCACCTTCCCGACGTACCAGCCGACATGCTTAAGAGAAGTCTGCTTCAAGAAAATCCTCTTCCAATCACCGTTCTCGCGTGGGCCAGATTACGGTGAGCCTTTACATTGTGTTTTCCGCATCCAAGAGCCCTGGGGTAGACTGTCTTGGTGCGAACTTATCGACGACCTGTACACAAGTCAACGATGGTGAATGTTTTGCAAGGGTCCAGTGCGTAGATTCTTCGACGCTGAAACCCAGAGTAGAGTCATTTTTTGGGCACCCTTCTGTCTTTTGGGGTTTCGCAGCTGTTCAATACATCCAAGGGTTCTGACAGGTTTGGGGTGTAGCCCTTCGAAACATCAAGTTCACATTGCATCTCAACCAGGGCTCCCGTACTAACAGTCTTAACAACATCAGGTTTGCAGTGCACCTCATCGATCATCGATCATCATCATCATCATCATCATCATCATCAGCGTTCTTATTGTGCAACCCCTTGTGCACCTCTGGTCTTGACTCCAGTCACAATCATCAGCATCTTTCCCCCGCAGGTTTCTGATGATGCTAGAGCCCACTCAAAGATATTGTAAAGCCAGTCGAAAGCTGAAGCTGCGAAGCCCTGAGAGGCGAGGTGCCTACTTCGCTTGCCAGTCAAATCGAAAGCACCTGGTGGCCAGGGGCGCGACGGACGTGCGGATGCTTCCCGAAATAAAGCAGCTGTTCCCTGTTTCCACCCAGAGATGCTATTTGAGATGCGAAACGACAGTATCACGCGGTCCGAATTCCAGACTCAGCCTCCGAATTGACAATCACAGACTAATGCCAAGGTGGCATTCAACAGCTGAGTTTCTACTCAGAGGAAATCGAAAGAATAGTGAGCTCAGCCAGGCACAAAGAAGAATTTGCCGTGGTGGTCCTGACTGGTAGCGTCACTTTGACACGAAGCTGAAGCATCACTATGTGGTCCCAAAAAGGTGATGCCCACCAATAAATTCTAGAATCACAGGTACAAGCAGCAGCCCATACGCGGTTTGATCTGACCGCTTACAGTTGACTGCTTACAACTACCAGATACGGAAATCTGAACGAGGCAATATTGCCTGGGAAGAGTCGGGACGGTAAACTGGCGGCAAACAGGCGAAGAACAACACTCGTCGCCGACAAAGGAGGAGAACCTTGGAAGGAGGAGAACCTTGGGCACAATGAAATAATAGTGGTGCCCGTGCGATCACGGCACTTACCACCAATACTGCCACCAAGGCGAAACTGCGATGTCGCGGCAACCTCTACTCTTACTAATGCACCCAGCAAGACCCATGCTTCCAGGCCAGCACAGTAACTGTCAATATCACTACAAAGCTGTTCAACGTATCGATGCTGAGTCGATACCATAAATGACAAGCCCAGGCTTACCACAGACGTTTGCGTGCCGTTGAGCGACTTCCCGGCGCTGATCGAGGAGACGGAGGAAGACTACAACGCCACCGCCGAGGAGCTAAAGGGGATGAGCATATCGGGATTAGGAGATTTGGGCATTTAAAAGAGGATGAAGAATTCTAGGCGTGTGGGCGTTTTGAACACGCCTCAGGCCATTAGCACTGTCATGACGTGTTTCGCAACGGACCACAGTGAGCAACCCCCATGAAGAGTTGATGCATGCCTCCTGGACTCTGGCATTGGAGCCCATCATTCGTGGTCGGGAGATCGGATATCATTGGTCAAAGACTTGTTGACTTTTCGCGGCTCACGGATAAGTTTTCAGGGTCTTTCTCTTACAGTCGATGGGCTTTGCGCTGCTCTTTTGACGAGACCTGTGTTAGATTCGTAGCAAGAACCAGGATTCCCAAAGCAATTCTCATCCCAAATGTCGGTGTCGTCGGACATGTCCCACTTCAGGAGACGGGCATCAGGTTCTTGTGCAACATATTTGGCCACGCTGCGGATGGCAACTTCCACTGCTGTGTCATGTTTGACCACGGGAACGCCAAGGACACACCTTGGAGGGTTTTTGATGTTGTGTCAAGCAGCGGAGTGGCTTTGCTTATCTTGAGCACCTCTGGAGGGTGACGTCATATTTAATGGTTGCGGATGTCGAGCTCGCGACTCCGAGCAGCCATGCGATTGACAGCATGTTGGGCTTTCCCACACATTGTCTCATTGTGGTGGCTCTTGATTGAGTCCTTAGGGATATGTGGGTATGCGCAGATAGCGGTTCAACTTTCTCAACTTTCAGGCGGCGGTCTGAGCCCAAAACACCCCACCGAGCTTCCGAGAAAAGCTTCTCAGAGCCTCAGAGTCCAGAAAGCTTCGGGACTCCTGAACCCGAAGCCTGCTAATCGTTGTTTTCGACCTGAGTCTGATTGAAGACAACCCCGAAGCCCGAAAAGAGCCGGGAGAACTGACTATGTCAGTCGAGACTAGCTGACTAGCTCCTAAACATGTTTTGCAGTAGAAACATAGGCAAGATCAACGGTGGTCCCAGCATGCCGGCAGGAGGTGGAGGTCCTGCATCAGTTGGACAGGCTCGCCGGCCTGATCCGAGCCTTACTGGGCTTCAGATTGTAGTGGTTCAGTTATGTATGTTCTTGTCCTCGATGCATTTAGGTCTGAGACTTTTGAGGGTTGGGAAGGAGCATCTAGGTGCTAGTCAGACGAATTCCCTCTGAAGATGCGATTTAGTGAGCCATACAACACTTCGCGACAGTTCTGGGTTGAGTGTCTTCTTACCTGTGTAGTCAGTGTAGTCAGCTTGGCTTGCACGCAGTTTGACCTGCTCGACTCCTCCCCTTGCAAAGCTGCCGTAAACACCACTCGACATGCCTGACTGGGTCAAGGGGCATACTTCCTATGTTCACTGAGCCAAGAACTGCATCTTGCACATGAAAAACACGAGAAAAGCAGGCGGATGTGGGCGCGGGCCCTTGCTCACGGCGGCGTCGTCAGCGGCGAGCATGGCGCAGGTCACGGGCCCAGAATCCTTAGATGCCGATCTCGGCGAACACAGCCCGTCAAAGGCAAGAGACTACAGGTGCAAAAAAAGAACAGTCCTTCTCTTCTTGCAGGGCGCTGCTTGAAGAGCGGTCTCCGCTGCACGTGTCATCAGTATTCTCGCCTTCCCATAACAAGGGAATGTCCTGTGGTGGGCTGGTAAAAGTAATTTTCAGGGTTGAAGTTCAGGCATAAAAACGAACTGCTTGCGCCGGCTACGAAAGACTTCCACAGATGACCTCCAAAACCGAAAGGGTTGGCTTCCTGGACCGCTGCAGCAAGAGAGCCTTGCACGCGTGTCTGTGTGGCTCAGGCATGGGCAAAGTTTCAGCGCTTGCAGAGGAGTGGGGCACCGATGCGATTGGCGTGATGTGGAGGCTGAAGAAGCCGCTCGGCCCCACCCAGAGAACCGCGCTAGCTGAACCCGGGTGTATTGTTGGCACTCTCATTACAGCGCAGACGGAGCAGCTGTCGTCGAGAGCAATGCTTCGCCAGGGGTCTGGTGTCTTTGGTGCCGATTCTCTACAGGGACTGTCGACCAGGGCTCCTTTGCAGTCAGACGGAGACCGTGACAGTGACAGGAGGCTTTCAGGTGCAAAGTCCGAAGCCCTTCAGCCGGAATTCTCAGTGTGCCATGCCTCCCTCTCTCCATCTTTACTTAGATGCCTGGACGAGCACGAGATCCTAAACCCGGGCAAGCTGCTTCCAAGCGGAACAAGATGAACCGAACCTTGTCTCTAATGCAAATGGAAGGCTTAGATAATCAGTCCAGCGGCGTAAGGACTTCGGCTCAGGGATCAGGATTGGAGGTTCAGTAAGCAGGATAGGACTTACGAGATCTGCTCTGGTACTCACACGTTCCAGCAATATCACCTGCCGTATGTTGAATGTGCACAGGATTTGCTGACAAGCTCCGAGTTATCGGTCTGGGGAGCAGGGCCGCGAATGAGTTCGTCGAGTATGTCGAACAAAAGGAGTTTCAGTTAAGGGACGAAAGTTCGGAATCCTGCACACAGAGTTCTACATGCCTACATCAACTGCTACACCAGCTATTCCTTCCGAGACAGCACCTGTGACCACGAGTTGACTGAAGCCCTGGACGCCAAGACCGTGAACCTCCGATTCCCAACCCAGTCCTGGCATGATTGCAAGCTCCAGGAACCGAAGTGGCCCGACTTCATCGATACGACCGTTCCATTTTCCATCAATTGATTGCTGCATGCAAGCATCCTTCAACGGAGCATGGAGGATGGCCTTGGGCATCGGGTTTGGGTAGATGGTTCAAAGAGAGAGAGAGATCGCAGCTTGGTTGCCGACGTATGCATCTCTAAAGATCCACGCCATGAGGATTCAGACTCATAAGAGTCCTTTGCATATTACAATCTCGAGTGCGCGAACCCTTCCATGACCGTCCCCCGTTCCCATTCAAAAGCAGATCAGTTTCTGCAGCGTGGTATGATCATATCCAGGGTTCGGAGACCTTTCACTGCCGAATGATATCGTTTGGAGGCGGCTGCGGTCTGAGGGACGCTCAGGGTCTCAGTTTCAGGACTGTGGTATAATGTGGGCTGAGCGCAGGGTCTAGGCTTCTGCAGTGCGATGTGCTTCCATGCTCGGGGTCAAGTGTGGCCAATGGACCTTTCGGAACGCAGGGCCAGGTTTGTACAGAGGGCAGTGGTGCAAAGCTTCCATTGCAAACCTGTGAGCTTCTTTCAGCATGACGCGCGGTCTCGGAATCTGAGTTTCACATCGCTCACAAGGAACATGGCAGTTGGATAGTCACGTCTAGTTTCACCTAGCGGTGCCATGAGCAGGATGATGATGCTGATGAGGGTGGTAATGCTAACCATGATGACGCTGGTGGCTGCGTTGGCCCGTCAGATGAAGACCACGTAGTGCTGGAACGGCTCTCCTGCGGCTTTTCAACTCCGCTGTGCAGTGGCCATGAGATCCGGGGTCATCCAGGTGTTTCCGAAGATTTGGGGAAAGCAATCGGCAAACAGCGATCGCTCAAACCAGGTGTCTTCCAGTTCTAGCGGAGACAGCAAAGGTGTTTGGAGAATCCCTGAGCTCGGAAACTCCGGTATACAGGCATGCCTCAAGCTTGTACCCGAAACCTGAAGCCCTGTTCGAGACGCCTATCTTGCATTCCGAGATGGATGAGATCGGCAAGGCAAAACGAAGTGCGATGTGCAGTCCACTGAACTGAACTTTCTGGCCAGGGGTGATGGTGGTGGTGGTGGCGGTGGTGGTGGTAATGGTGGTGGTGCTGGTAATGGTGGTGGTGGTGGTGGTGGTGGTGGTGGTGGTGGTGGTGGTGGTTGTAACAAGAGGAGGAGGAGTAGCAGGAGTAGGAGTCGGAAGTAGGCGCAGCAGGAGTAGGAGCCCGAGCAGGAGCAGGAGTGGCAGCAGGAGCAGTAGTAGCAGTAGCAGTAGCAGTGACATCAGCAATAGCAGTAGCAGTGACAGTAGCAGTGGCAGCAGCAATGGTCGTGGTCGTGAGCCGTTGCAGTGTTAGTTGTTGCTACAGGTATGATGATGCTGGCGGGCAGAACGATGACGGTGCGGGTGACGATGTTGGTGTTGCTGATGGTGTTTATGACGATGATGACGATGCTGATGATTATGATGATGACGATGATTCTGAATTCTTATCATCTTCTTCACAGTTTTGATGGTTTTTTCTGGCACGGACAGACGGAGTGGTGATGCTGCTGATGAAAGCCACCACGTCCAGCGGGTGCACTGTCACATGCCTTCGTGTGGGTCTATCTTTCCATGCCAAATGGCACCTAAGGTCGAAGTTCCGGTCCAGAAGGAGAACTATGTGCCGTTCATGCAAAAAGTTGAGAGGCCGGGCCTGGGGCTTGTCGGTTAGAAGCGGAGGTCTTTCCAGGCTGTACGGTTCAGGGATTGCAGCTGCAAGTCTCATGATCTTCTTCTGTGTCCGTGCAATGCAGCACTGTCTCGACGGTAAAGCACCGAGGGCCTGGCCGTGAACCTGCATGTATGTGTACCTGCCATGGACATAGTGTTTGACGTAAAGTTGAACAGGCGGAGGTGGAAACAGAGCCCTGGGTCTAAAGTCTCAAAGATCGCAGGTTTGGAGTTGTGGGTTCGAGCTGGTGTATATCAGGCATCAGGGTTCAGTGCCGGATAGGGTTGGAGCAGAAGGCTTGGGATCTACGTGCTGCAGTTGGTGAGCTTGTGCTCGACCACGCGAGACCCACAAAACGAGCCCTGAAACTTCCAAGCCCGCCAGTATAATGCCTCTCCGTATGTTTTAGAAGGACCGTGGAAGTACCGCAGATCGAATATGTGGACGAGCCGGTGGAGGAGTGTTCACTGTTGAGAACAACTTGGGCTTGGGCTTCAGCATGCAAGGCTACAAGGCTTCGGATGGTCTGGTGGTGGGGTATTGAACTCTGGAGAACAACCCCAGACCTTCTGATTTGGAGCTCGAGGTTCTGCGATTACTGTTGAAGCATTGAGGTGCTGCTCATGTCAAGGATGTCTTCCCGGGCGATAGGTAGGAAGCTTCTGGTCTCTGCATCCCGCTTCTTGTAGCTGCCCAAAGTGGCGTGTTTGTCACCGACACGTAGTTTGCAATAAACTCCGGATGATTTGGTTCCTGCCATGAGCCTCAGATGTTTTCTGTTTATGGGGGATACAGTTGAGGAAGACTTGGGCGCTCAGGCTAACAGTCTGCCCTCATGAAGCTGCCCTGATGAAGCTGAGGTCTAGAGTCGAAAGTTAGGGGAGTTGGGCTGCTTTGGACCGGGAGCTCGCATTTTCCCAGCCCCTGAAGCCCAAACTGACCTGAACCCTGCTTGCGAGTGTAGTTTTTTGAAGTTCTGTTTTCTTTCAGCAATCCAAAACTCTTAAAACCCTTTACACCCTGCTCGGTCTTGGCCGCAGCTTCCTGTACAAAGACATCGCCATGCCTGGCACCCAGGCTACCGGCATGAAACGGTTCAGAGAATGGTGAGTGTTTGGCTTCAGAGGCCTACCACCATTGCCGGGAGTCCAGAAGCTGCTCCTCTGTGAGTAGGAGTAAGCACGCAGAAGGAGCAAGCGGGCTTCCATCGTTTTCGTTCGTTGTCTGTCTCTCTTTCTTCTTGCTCTTTCCTTTTTCTCTGCCTCTTGTCATGCTCTCTCTTCCTTCCTTCACATCCTCATCTCTCTCTCCCTATCTCCGTATCTGTCTCTCGGTATCTCTCTCACGCTCTCTCTGTCTCCCAAGAGAGAGAGGGAGAGAGCGAGAGAGAGAGAGAGAGCGATAACCTTGTCTTGTGATAGGAGGAGAAACAGAGACATCACACTCTTTTTAGACTGTTATTGAGCTACTAGTTCATATGGTGATACAGCTCCACGAACATAATTTCACGTTTCAAACACAGAGCAGATGACCGTCGGCAGCGTTTCGTACCCCAAACCCTCAAACGCTTACAGTACACCTGTAACCCATAACCCTCTTGCTGCTTTAAGTCACCGAGACGCCATGAACCCATATAACACTTCCGTAAACGCCGTAAGCCCAAAACTCATCAAGGCCGGAGCTTCGAGATGCCTAACTTCGAGCGGACGGAGCAAAGCTTTCAAAGACACCTAAATTAAAATGCTAAATCCTAGAACCCTAAGAAACCGTACACCTGCGCCCTGAATCCTGACTCCCTACATCATAATTTGACTCCCAAACCTTAAATCCCTAACACCCCATCTTCGTATCAAGGTACCGGTGCCGGTTCCTGTGGAGCGAAGCGTCGAGGCCTGTTTACGGGCTCTCCGACAGAGAATTCTGAGTTCTAGTCGCGGTGCTTTCAGGGAACCATACGGAGCTATAGGTGGTTTCTGGGGTTTGGGGCTTTTAGGGTTTTAGGGCGTTTAAGGTTTCGTTTTAGGGCTTTGCACTTTACAGGCTTTTCCTTACGGGCCTTGGTTCGCTTTGGTTGTAAGGGTTTGGGAATTAGGGGTTCGGGGTTCAGGGTTTGGGCCTTTCGAGGACTTTGGTGGGTCGTACAGAGTTAGTTTTAGGGTTTAGGCTTTAGGGTTCGGGCCGTCCGGTTGTTGGGTCGTTTAGGATCTTGGGCCTTTCAGTGTGGAGGGTATTGGAATGTAGGGTCTTCAGGGTCTTCAGAACATAGGGTTCCCGGCTTTAAGGTTTAGAACAAAGGTTTGAAGCTTTTAGGATGTTTGAGGGCGATTAGTGTTGAGGGTTACCGGTTTACGATTAGGGGCTTCCGTGTCTTGAAGGGCTTGTGGGGTTCCAAGCTTTTGATTTTTTTGGTTAAACGTTTGCAGGGTTTGGTACCTTTTTTGGTCTTGAAGGCGATTGGTATCCTAAGCTTCGGGGTGTTGAGGGTCAGCGGTTTTGGGGTTAAGGGTTTCCATGCGTTTCAGGACCTGTGGGGTTTCTAACTTTGGTGCTTTAGCGGGTTTAGGGTGCAGGTTTTTCGGGTTTAGGGCCTTTAAGATCTTGAGGGCGATTGGTATCCTAGGCTTTGGGGTGTTGAGGGTTAACGGTTTTAGGGTTAAGGGCTTCCGTGCGTTTCAGGGCTTTTGGGGTTTCTAACTTTGGTGTTTTAGCGGGTTTAGGGTGCAGGTTTTTCGGGTTTAGGGCCTTTAAGATCTTGAGGGCGATTGGTATCCTAGGCTTTGGGGTGTTGAGGGTCAACGGTTTGAGGGTTAAGGGCTTCCGTACGTTTCAGGGCTTTTGGGGTTTC